GAAGCCATGCTACTGATTCAGCATATCCACAACAACAACAACCCACACACACTAAGAGGCTTCCACTAGCTGTAGCAGTTCTAGGAATGTGTCCAGTGACTATATATGTGTATATATATTATAGAAAAATAGTAATAAACAACTTTTATTGTTGGTTTATGTAAACAGGTATTGTCAACAATGTAATGATAATGTTTGTGTGGTTATTGTGTAGCATACAATGAGTGAATATACACCTACCATCCGACTTACGACCGAGTTCGGTTCCGAGAAACCGGTCGTAAGTCGAAATGGTCGTAAGTCGAACTTTACTACTGAATATCAACAAAACACTTCTGTAATGACTTTATTTTATTGTTTTATTTTGGTATTTCATGTTTTACTTTACTTTTTATGTTGTTAGTACTGTATTTTATACTGTAAGGTTTAGGATAAACACTGTGTACAACACACATAGTTGTTTATTTCCCAGAAATTTGGCATAAAAAACACGGTCGTAAGTCGAGTGGTCGTAAGTCGAGCAGGTCGTAAGTCAGATGGTAGGTGTATATACAATATGCCTTAGATTGGTCTCGCAGGCCATAAAAGTTACTTGAAAAAATAAAATATTAAAAAAAAAAGTAGAGTAAAGGTAAATATATTACCGAATGACCGGCAGTCACCAATGTTGCTGTAAACAGTTCACCTTGTCATCTTCAGGCCTCTATATCTCGATAAGTATTGATCGCAAAAATTTTTTTTTCTTCTATCACTAAAAAAAATATTCTTAAGATTTTGGTAAGAATATTTTTCCTCGACCCAGACAGTGAGTTAAGGATCGGGGGTCTCGACCAAGATAAGGTTAAGAAAAAGAAAGAGAAGATGTAAATTAGAAAGAGAGAAACGCTCCCTATACAGATGAAGGCAAAGAATCGCAGAGCTCCTGAGAGGGGCCAATATATCTGAAATATGAAGGGACGCAGTGGTCAATGAAAAAGCAAATCTTGAACTTAAGTTGAAGGAATCGTACAGATGAGAATTGGAGGAAGAACTAAAAGCCATAAAGAAAATTAAAAAAAAAAAACAAAAAATTCTTCTCTTGTGCTAAATCTAAGGGAAAAACAACATCCACTATTGGGCCCTTGCTTAGGCAAGATATGTCATACACAGCCAAGGAATGAGTGAGTTACTTAAGTCTCAATATGACTCATTGTTCAGTAAGCCATTACCCAGAGTAAGGGTCAACAATTCAAATGAATTCTTTATGAACGAGACCCAAAATCTGGTCATCTCAAAAAAATCTGATATCCTAACACCACAAAACTTTGAAAAGGCAGTAAATGACATGCCAATGCACTCTGCCCCAGGCCCAGACTCGTGTAACTCCTTATTCATCAAGAACTGCAAGAAGCCCCTGTCACATGCCTTTAGCATTCAATGGAGAGGAAGCATGGACATGGGTCATCCCACAGTCACTAAAAACAACAGATATGGCTCCATGGACTCTACATAGGTTGCCACCTTTGTAAAGCAATTGCAAAGAATTACAGACTGATAGCACTAACATCCCATATCATAAAAATCTTTGAAAGGGTTCTAAGAAGCAAGATCGCCAACCACCTAGATACCCATCAGTTACACAACCCAGAGCAGCACAGGTTTAGAGCTGGTCACTCTTGCCTGTTCCAGCTACTGGACTACTATGACAAGATTCTGGATGCTATAGAGGATAAACAAAATGCAGATGTAGTATACACAGACTTTGCAAAAGCCTTCGACAAGTGTGACCATTGTGTAATAGCACACAAAATTCGTGATAAAGGAATAACAGGGAAAGTTAGTAGATGGATCTATAACTTCCTGACAAATAGAACACAAAAAGTAATAGCAAACAGAGTAAAATCTGAGGCAGCTACAATGAAAAGTTCTGTTCCACAAGGCACACTGCTCCCATCCTATTCCTCATCCTCATATCTGTCACAGAGATGTAAGCCATAGCTCCGTGTCTTCCTTTGCAGATGACACCCGAATTGCCATGACAGTGTCCTCAATCAAAGACACCACAAGACTCCAAGCGTGTTGAGAATAATGCTACAAGCTAAGTCAAAGATTAAATAGTGGACTGTAGGGGGAACTTAGCTTGATAGACAGCTTTCGCCTACACAGCCGTCCCTGCAGGCAGTGTCTTGAGAAGCTGTCGTATGCATCCCTCAACGGGCTGGAAATGAAAATATATTGGTGAGTGTAATTACCCCTAGGGGGTATTATGTCAGCATATCTCAGAACTGATTGCTGATTGGCATACTCACTTGGATTCAAAAGTCTGCACCTCACTGCCGACTATAGGTTGATTACAGACCCCTTGCAACACAAGAACTGTGCAGTCCCCTGTATTACAAGATAATTTGTAACCTACCTTGGTCTTGTAGCGTGAGCTATGGTGTTCTTTACACCTTTTTCAACAGGTATTGGTGATTTGATAGAAGCTGAAGTGTCCTTGGATGTCCATGTCTTCCACCTAGGAATATGTACACTGGTACACCATGTTCCACAAGGTTTGTCTTTGTTATTCACAATCTTATCACTAAAGAATCTGATCACACTTCTCTGTAAATGTTTAGATGTGTTTCTTGAGACACTTTTATGCACAGAAACGCGCAGATCGATGTTCTTTGTTGGTTATCCCGGCATCAATGTGAGCCCTAGCAGGATCAGAAGCAATCTGAAAATGCCACAGCTTCCTACAACGCCACTGCCCATGAAGGAAAAGCTGACCTAGTACATTTCCCTTCCTTGCCAAACTTCCTCCAGGAAGTAAAGCAGAATGCTTAATTCTTGCTGTCTAAGCATAAACAACAATGTACACTATCTTTACCACGGTAATAAAGTGGGTACAGGATTTTCCTTAATTGTCTTGTTAAGGTAAGAGATTGGTTTCCTCTTATTTAAACTACACTCTTGCAACAGTGGTCTCTTGCAAAGAGCTGCATGACCACGTAACTTGTACACACTGATTAAACATCTGCTGGTAATTACTTAATGTAGCAATAAACAAGATGCTTGCCCCTTTTGAGAGTACTGGGCCCCTCAGGGATGAAGGGAGCTGAATACCCTCCTCTTGGAGAAAATTTTTCCACAAAGCGGACATCAACCCTATCTTCAAATGGGCCACTCGAAACAGTATGAAGTTCAATGAAGAAAAATTTCAACTACTCAGATATGGAAAACTTGAGGAAATTAAAACTAAATCAGGGTATACAACAAATTCTAACCATACAATAGAGTGAAAAAGTAATGTGAATGACCTGGGAGTGATAATGTCAGAGGATATCACCTTCAAAGACCACAACAATGTATCTACTGCATCTGCTAAGAAAATGATAGGATGGATAATAAGAACCTTCAAAACTAGGGATGCCAAGCCCATGATGATTCTCTTCAAATCACTTGTTTGTTGTAGGCTGGAATACTTTTGTACAATATCAGACCCTGATCCACCACGAGGCCTGTTTTAAGACAAAGCCACTGGGGCGTTGATCCCCAAAACCCTCTCCAGGTATAGTACAGTGAATAGTATTGATTTTTGTTATTCCATATGAGGGGCTCTTGATTCAAGGAATTGGACTTCTCCTCCTTTTATTGATCAAACTTTGTCTCCCATTCCCCAGGCACTGTATGAGCCTTAGGACTTGGCATTTCTCCTAAATATAAGTGATATTCCTTTACTAAATGTAAAAAGTTAATCTTTTTAAAGTAGAATCCTTGTATCCACGGATTCGGTTTCTGCAGTTTATCCATGGCTCAAAAATAATCCTTAATATTGCTTAATAATTCTAGGTAGTAGGTTGGTAGACAGCAACTGCCCAGGGAGGTACTACCGTCCTGCCAAGTGAGTGTAAAACTGAAGCCTGTAATTGTTTTACACGATGGTAGGATTGCTGGTGTCTTTTTTTTTCTGTCTCATACACATGCAAGATTTCAGGTACGTCTTGCTACTTCTACTTACAATTAGGTCACACTACACATACATGTACAAGCATATATATACACACCCCTTTGGGTTTTCTTCTATTTTCTTTCTAGTTCTTGTTCTTGTTTATTTGCTCTTAGCTCCATGGGGAAGTGGAACAGAATTCTTCCTCCGTAAGCCATGCATGTTGTAAGAGGCGACTAAAATGCCAGGAGCAAGGGGCTAGTAACCCCTTCTCCTGTATATATTACTAAATGTAAAAGGAGAAACTTATGTTTTTCCCTTTGGGCCACCCCGCCTCGGTGGGATACGGCCGGTGTGTTGAAAGAAAGATTGCTTAATAATGGCCTCAGAGTGCAAAAATAGTGATCCTGGCAGTTTTTCAAAACCTAAGAGAAGCTGGGAAGTGCTTTCCATCAGTGAAAAGTACTAATTCTTCACTTGTGCATAATTTATCAATTAAACTTTGTCATAAGTATGTATGTTAACAAAAACGACTTATATGTGGGGTTCACTACTATCCATGGTTTTGGGCATCCATGGTAGGTCTTGGAATGTATCCCACATGGATACAGGGGGACTACTGTAGTTTTCTTCTTTTTTGGGTTGCCCTTCCTCTGTGGGAGATGGCCGGTATGCTGAAAAAAATAAATCCTTTTGCTTGCTGATGACTCAAGGTTGCATCATTATATTGAAGAATCAGTGAATGGGTTTTAAATATGAGTTAAAGTGGCAATGGGAAATTCAGTCTTGGAGTAGGAAGGCTTGGGAGGTGCAGAAGTCAAGGGCAGAGCTTGGGTTTGGTATAATACAACATTTCCAAACTTTCTATTTTTGTTGTTGCTAGTAAATGGTGACTACTGTATGTAGGAAATATTCATACCAGCAGGTGGATATATTTTGCACTTGTTTAAAGTATTACTTCAGGTTATTGTTAACACTTTAGGGCCTTTGAAATAACTGTACATTATACTAAAGATCAATCCTTCACAGAAGTCGAATTCTTTTTATCACCATTTTTTTGTGACTTTCATTGCAATTCTTTCCCCAGAGTGTGGACTTGTATAGCCTGACTGATATCTTGCGTGGAGGTGTAAGAATCCAGAATAACTTCAACCTGTGTTATGTACAGACAGTTAACTGGTCCATTATTGTCAAGGATGACAGTGAAAATATCATCAAGGTGAGTAAGAGGAGAAGGAAGGGGTTACATGCTCATATAGAAAGTGTCGAACTAGGTTAAAAAGATTACAGTGGGATTAACATGACAAGAGCAGAGTGGAAGTTTAAATAATGCAGCAATACAACACAGTATGTATTTGCATTTTTAAGATGAATGTTAAGGTTTGAAAATACAGTAATGTACATGGTATTTCACAAAGCCCATAAGAAACAAAAAACTATACGTGCTTTTTCAGCATGTGGACTTAGTCCTCTGAATGAAGCAAAGGATGTAAGACAGCAGACTTTCACGAGGATACTACTTACTACTAACCTTTTATGAGTGAAACCGAAGCTAATCAGTTTTGTTTTCTGGAGGAACTACCTTTTGTTTGTATGTTTTTACTCTCTTGGCTGTGTAAAATGACATGCAAAAACTGCAAACTTCTACATGCCCTTTTTTACTTTCCTGTTTCTACTGTAGACCAATGTTATTGGGGCTAGTGTCACTTACGAAATTCAAGGTCTTAATCAGTGTCCTCGGATTTGCTGTGAGCAGCAAATTTTAGCCTAGACACAAGAAAATAGGTGTGTAGAGTGGGTGTGCACAATATAATAATAGTCATAGCCCATGCAGTGCATGATGAGAATAACAATTCTCTGCCTTTTGTTTGGGTTACAATAGCAACTTTAGGGTGGTTTTCTAGGGTGGTTTTTGAACACCCAAACAAAAACTTTATTTATGTAAAGTGGAATACAATTCAGCAATGCCTTGCATAGTACAGTTAATGTGTGCCAGAAAAAATATACTATGCAGTACCATACTGATCAAGGTATTATAATGTGTTTTAATGTAATGCTTTCCAACAATACTATTACCGTATTTTATGACGTCCACCACCTGATACGTCTTGGTACAAAAATTTACTAAAAAAAATTCTTTTGTTTTGACACAGAACAACAATGAAAGACTGTGCAGTCCTTGCCAACCTAACTGCCCTCGACAAGGGAAGCAAGCATATTGTTGGTCTGCCACACATTGTCAGCAAGGTGAGTTTTTATGTAGCCAACATTCCATAAAATTTTATTTAGCCCTCATTTCCAACATACCAAAGGACCTCCTTACATTGTTAGAGTATAGTGATTGAAAATTGCTTCCTTGTTACCTGGTTCACTCTCGGAAGGCCTGATATTAAAAATACTCAAAGTGTCGGTATTTAAAAAAAAAACTTATGAAATGGTAAAGAATCTTTTTCTGAAGGCATTGACATTAAAAAATTTGAATTTTGATGGAAAACTTAGAATTACGCAGGGACAAATTTAGCAGTTTGAGCACAATTAAAGCATCATCAGTTTTGCCCAACTTGAGTCAATTTCATTGCTCAATTTGACCAAATTCTTAGCTATTTTGGTATTAAGTTTTCCATTATATCAGTTGAACATGAGAAACTTTCCTTTCAACTGTCAGAAATTCTCAGTAAAGTGCACAGAAGTCGGTAATATAAAAACAGTCCAAGGTAAACACTGTAGACATTCTAGGCATTAAAGCAACATTCTGTTCACTAATCAAGTCCTCAGGCCTCTTATACTCCACTTACCTTCCATTTTGAACTCTCACAAGAAGTAAAAGATTTATCGTGTTTTTTGGATAATAAGCATGTCAGCGTGCCTCGTTGTGCTCCGGGTTTTCTCGTGTTTACACGGTCGCTCTTACATGCTAGAACTTTAATTTGTGCCATCAATCCTATACGATACATCCCTCTAGCGCCTGGAACCAATCTTGGGCGGAAAACATTATATACTGAGTCAAAAAAGGAGAATTAGTGTGCACTACCTAGCAGAGTTTACTGCCAGAGGGGAATCATAGGCCTGTGTTCCGTGTGCAAAATAATAATAATAGAACTTTTCTTTGTCAGAGGAAAGAAAGTCTCCCTGATAACATTGTGTATACATAGTGTATAGTGTATACTACAGTGGCTCCCTAGTATATAGATGATAAGGCTAAAGTGTCATTTGAAAACAGGTGAATTTGTAAATGAAGTGATAAGCCTATAGAGGCAGGTGCCAGAAGTCGCCAGAAACTTACCACAGAGGTCAGCTGTTTTAATAATCTTCCTGGCCTGCTAGTGTACTTGCATATACAGGAAGGCCCCGCTTTACGGCGTTTCACTTTACGGCGTTCCGCTAATACGGACATTTCAAATTATGACCAAAACTCACTATACGGCTCCCCCCACCTGACTTTCTAATACGGTCACCGTGCCCCACCCTGTTTGTTTACATTCTCCATGAGCTCAGTAAGCACTAAGTCTCTCCATTTTGTCTGGAAACTCCAAAATTTCAAATGTTTTTAAAAGTTATTTCATATTTTATATATACTCTGATAATTATACTTATGTATACCTGTACCTAAATAAACTTACATACATCGAGTCATTTAAATGTCGTATATTACGTTAATATACACATTTTCATTAATCCATCCATGATATTTTTTTCAAAATTATATAATAAACACGATGCATAACATATAAATAAGATAAATACACCCCACAGTAGAATAAATAAACATAAATGTGAGATGTGAGCAGACGACTTCCACAAGTGACGCCATAATAACAATACTCACCGAGTCTCATTAAATGTCGTATATTACGGTAATATACACATTTTCATTAATCCATCCATGATATTTTTTTCAAAATTATATAATAAACACGATGCATAACATATAAATAAGATAAATACACCCACAGTAGAATAAATAAACATAAATGTGAGATGTGAGCAGACGACTTCCACAAGTGACGCCATAATAAACAATAGTCACCGAGTCTCATTAAATGTCGTATATTACGTTAATATACACATTTTCATTAATCCATCCATGATATTTTTTTCAAAATTATATAATAAACACGATGCATAACAATAAATAAGATAAATACACCCCACAGTAGAATAAATAAACATAAATGTGAGATGTGAGCAGACGACTTCCACAAGTGACGCATAATAACAATACTCACCGAGTCTCATTAAATGTCGTATATTACGGTAATATACACATTTTCATTAATCCATCCATGATATTTTTTTCAAATTATATAATAAACACGATGCATAACATATAAATAAGATAAATACACCCCACAGTAGAATAAATAAACATAAATGTGAGATGTGAGCAGACGCTTCCACAAGTGACGCCATAATAACAATAGTCACCGAGTCTCATTAAATGTCATATATTACGGTAATATACACATTTTCATTAATCCATCCATGATATTTTTTTCAAAATTATATAATAAACACGATACATAACATAAAAAGATGATAAATACACCCACAATAGAATAAATAAACATAAATATAAGATGTGGGAGGCCTGGTTTGTTTACATAACTCTGCGCCTGTTACCTCTCATGTACTCATTCTTTCTCTCTCTCATTTATCGTTTTATCTCATTTACTTACTCCTGACCCTACATTAAGACTACAAATATTTTAAGGTAAGTAATGAGTGAACTGTATATACATTTTATCGCTCTGGGATGCTTAAATATCATAGAATAGTATGTGTGGGTGGGGTGGCCTGGTGAGGTAGCCTGGCTATTACAATACATACCACACTTGATTTCTTACAATAAATACTACTTGTCTCACCCTAGATTAAGACTATAAATATTTTAAGGTAAGTAATGAGTGCACTATGTGTGTATTGTACTTTTTTATTGTTTTTTGATGCCTGGTTCTATTGCTAACATAATATATGTTAGTGTAAACTTGTTATCTAGTGTTTGTATGCATTTGTAAGTGGAAAAAAAGGGTGTTCCACTTTACGGCGGTTTCCGCTTTACGGCGGTAGCCTGGAACCTAACCCGCCGTATAAGTGGGGCCTTCCTGTAATCTAGTGATACCAGTGAATAGCAGAATACAGTGTTGTAGTAGCAACTAACCAGTATTATAATGGCACTTAGTGGAGTGGAGTGACTTTCATTGTTTTTTTCTTGAAATACCAGACGTATACTGTGAATTTCATATAACCTGTAGTTACCAGCAGTCGCAATATACACAACGAGAAGCAATTATTACTACAGAAAAAGCGTCCTTCCTCCAAAATTTCCACCAGTCAACTATAGTGATAATATAGCATTTATTGTGGTGGAGACAAAAAAAAAAAAAATAGAAAAGCTAGATACAGCGATTGATAAACAAGGGTTGAGGCTCGACCGTTCGTCATTGTAGGAGCTGCCAGAAATCACCGGCTCTTCAACACGCAAGTTATACTTTTGTATCAATCAAATCACATATTACTCGGGTAGATAATTTCAAGTAGATCCTTCATGTGTAGCCCAAATCACCGACTAGTATTTTTTTAAAATAAGTGACCCACTGATCAGATCAGATCGACTGGTCCGAACCCTCGACGGGCCCCGAACCCTTGATGGCCCCGAACCCTTGACTGGTTTCAAACGGATTCGTTGGACATTAAAGCAGACTGTAAACGGATGGGGTTGTAGGCGCCCTTATCAAACACAAACAATAAATATAAATCAGGAACGTACACGGTAAGCGGGCCCAATATACAAGTACAGTTAGAAATAAAATACAAATAGCTAGAGCTTCATTTAAGGAGGTTATTAATAGAGTATTGAAGAGGTTGCTAGTAGAATTACAGTAAATCAACAATTCAAATCATTATGAAGCTCTGTATAGTCTGCATAAATCAAACAAACGAGCTTCCACATGGATAAATTGTCATTTTTGTGGAAATTGGTGTCACGCCCCCTTGTGCAGATATCCAAGATTAGCTACAAGCAGTATTAAAACAGGAAAGTGATTTTGGATGCCAAATGAGGAAAATCTGGGACTAAAATCACAAGGTATTAAAAGAGGATAACATCAAAGCTGCTTTCATAGACAACCTGGAAGCTTCTACAAACAGATGGAACATAAAAAGTCTGGGCTGAATGGTACTGCCCTTGATACTGGCCATGTAGTCAGAAACTGTAAGGCTGGAGGTGATGTCCTGGTAGTCAGTAAATGTGGGGCTGATAGTACTGTCCTGGGAGACAGTAATGGGGAAGCTGGAGGTGCTGTCCTGGGAGACAGTAAGGTGAAGCTGGAGATTTTGTCCAGGTAAGTCGGGAATTATACGCAGGAAGGAATACATATAAATGACCTCATAGGGGACAGGAGCCGTAGTGGGGGAAAAAAGTGTAGTCAAAGATAAGATAAAACCAATATTGCAAACTAAAATACCACAGGAAATAGCAAACAAGAGGACTCCACTAGCAATAGTGAGGAATATTACCAAAAACAACTGGTGGGAGCTCCATTGTTGGTGCTAGGGAGGATAGGGAAAAAGACAGGGAAACATGCACCAACAGGGAATACAGTCACAGAAACCCAAGGCAAATGGAAACCAAGCCTGTGCACATACTATGCACTTGGTATCTGCAGACATGGGAAATCTGGAAAAACAGACGGGACATGCAACTATGACCACCCTAGAAAATGCCATGCCCATATGACAACAGGAAAATGCAAACTCCCTTCCTGTGAGCTTTTTCACCCTGAAATGTGTACCTCTTCAGTACAGGAAAGACTGTGCTATAACTTAAATTGCCAGGCACACCATCTAAAGGGGACAAAAAAATACAAAACATCCAGGCCATGGGAAAACCTGGGTAGCCACAGCCACTCAAGAGGGGGAGGTTTTTTAGTGCCAGGAAGGAAAAAAAACTGGCAGGAAATGGCAGAAATCATACACCAAATCCAGTCATTCCTGGAGTGGAACCACAGTCGATAGCCTCCACTCCAAACCAACAGATACAGATACTAATGCTGGAAAAAAAATCCACCCCCAGTACCAACAATACCACCAATCCGATGACATTCTTCTTTGCAAATATAAAAAGTCTAAAGCCAGCAACAAACAACAAAATACCTTTCATCCGTGGACTGCTTGCAGAGGCAAAGGCAATGTTCACGGCTTTCACTGAGACCCACATAAAGGATCACTTGGACAACAAAATATGGATC